GCGTTTCCATATTTTCGCTATGTATACGTTTTCACAAAACGTTTTCGGTGAAGCATACATTGCTACCTGGCCCGGCTATCTTTAAAACATGTACAAAATGAACAATTTTTTCCTGAAATTTTGCCAATTTTTATATATATCTTTTTTTTTTAATAAAAAAATTGATATTTTCCTTTTACTATTTTTATTTAAAAGAAGTTAATATTTTCTATCGACCGTTTGTAAAAAATCATTTTATTATCATTAAATATTACAAATCATTTTACTGTTTTATTGATTTTTAAAACGTTTCGAGCTTTTGAAGCGCACGCCTCAAGTAGGTACGTATAAAACTGCACCGCTGCATTTCGTATCTATATGATGACGCATCGCTCTGTTGAACAGACAACCTTTTCACATATGAAAAGATACGCGCTTTCTTGGGAAAAGATGTATTCATTAAAACAAACGTTACTCTGCCTTCCTTTGATGTAAACGTCCTGTCTATGCGGTGTCCATTACCCAAAGTTACGCGGCTCACGAAGAAAATGATGATATGGATAATGTTGCTTTCGACATGCGAAACTGAAAGAGGATATCTGACAGCAGCCGATATACTTTATCGAAATTGCGCCATTTCTTTGCTATATTTTTCACGAGTAACTTGTACATATATGTAAGATCTCAGACGCTCCTCTTTTCGGATATATAGACTTTACTCCTTTGGGAAGAGCTTGCCTTTGCTAAAGATTTTCTCTTTTCCTACTGGGTTTTTATTTTCAATATTAATATCTCAATTGCAATCTAAATTAAATTGCGGTTGAATAGAGGACGATTTTATGACATTAGAGCTGTACCGATAAATTTATATTTTTAGAGCTCAGTCTCTTAAAGATTTTTAATTTTTGATTGTATTATCTTAAATCAATAGTGGGCGATTTTATAAATTATAAAGGAGACATCATTATTAGAAGAGGATAAAATGAGCAAGAATGTTAGTCTTACAACTTTACTCCTCATTATTGGTTGAAAGCATCAAGTTGAGAGATTGCCTCATGAAAGTCACTAACTTAATAAAGTAACCAGAGTGAAGCGATATGTGGCAAGGGGTGTAAAGTGTAATTATTTGTTACCTCCGCATTTTAGCGCATGCAATTTAACTTTTCACTATAATCGCTAATCTCCATTTAAATTCAAGTAAAATATACGTTATCAGATTTAATAAAAAGATATCCATGTATAAGTTTCTTCTTTCACAATTCTCGTTTTTTTCAATGTTAATTTTCAGATGTGATATCAATTAGATCTTTTCATTCTCTACAGAAATTTCATTTCTTCTGCTCCGCTACGAAGGTAACTTCTCATAGAATGTGGATTTATATCGCTTATTCCAATCAATGAACACCTTGATTGGGAAGATAAGACAGATTAAGCTTGGAATATGAAATAAGGGTACGATTAAAAGCTATGAAACGTTCAGAAACTGCTCACAGGAAGGAGGAAATTATAGACAGTTTTAAATATTTATCAGGTAGCTTTCGTAGAAGTAGCCGCAGCCGGCGAGCTCTCCCAGGACAAAGAGCAGCCAAATGGTAATGAATCTATACGTCTGAATACTGCCTTTCGTTCGTCTTTTTGTAAATTTTAATACCATTTTAATTTTTTATAGATTTTAATTAAAATTATAAAACTATTATCGAAACATTGTGCTGCAAATCATGATAATTTCTGATTACTTTACATTTTGAGTGTAAGACTTCGTAGTTCTCATCGTTACAGTACCATATCTCTCTTGCTCATCCTTATCAGAATTAACCATTTCGCTATCATTATAGATATTAAATTAATTGTTGTTAAATATTAAAACAAAATTCTTACACCATTGTTGTAAGAAACAGATAGAAAGCTTAATTATATTTAAAAATGACTTTTTTCTTATACAATATTTATCCCAAATATTTTATTTTTTAATACACACAAATTATCACAAGTTACATTTTAATTTTAGTTAATGTCAAGCGCAAAGGAAAAATGTTATTTATGTTTGCATAATAAAACATCATATTCATGCAAATATTATTCGTGATTTTTCATATACTCATAATCTGTTTTTTTTTTCCTGTAATATATGTACAGTTATAAATACGAAAAGTACATATATTTCAATTTGATAATAAAACTGTTAGTCATTACTTGCAATCGTTAATCAGTAACTATACAATTTCCTTATTTCGAGTAGATCATCGCAATCACGATAGGTACATCTATATCCGCGCCGTCGTTCCCGTTGTCTTATCTCTTTCTCTCGCACAAGTGCCGGCCAATAGAACAGATTAGATGGAACAACGTGCTGCTCCGATATCACGTGCCGCGTAACAGCTTCCTCAACGTTGCTAGCGTACGGCACGACGAGCGCCACAACCACTGAATCTCCCTTTAACGCCGGCACGAAATTTACAATGCCGCAATAGGCGCGGCTGCAGCGTGTAGTGGTGCATCGAGACGGGAATAATATCGAGCGCGTACACCTGTCTATCGGAGCCGAATGAAAGCGCGCCGGCGAGAATTGCCGGGATGAAAGGGACCGGCGTCGGTGTGGGGCTGTCCATTGTCCCGATTTCTGCCGGCGTCTGTGTGGTAGACTTGTCGCGCCCGTTGCGGTACGTAATAATGTGATTATGGGATGTACCACCTTACCTCCCACCCGATTCTCGAGCCCGAGATCCCCGAGATCCCCGAGATTTAGGGGAGGTGGGACGCCAAGGCTGAGACGACAAGGTTGACGGAAATCGTGTGAATGCAGAACTTCGGAACCTCCCTTCTCCACCACGTCTTCCTCAATCCCTCGAGCTAAGGACTACGTTATTATGCCGCGAGCGGCGACATGCGTTTGACTCACCTAAGCATATCGTTGGTAATGGTTTAATTACGCGAGAATTACGACTGTTCTCGAGAAATGAGTCCGCGATATTATTACGTTATAGCGGATTTTGTATGAAAATAGCAGGAAGTCTCTCGCTTGCTATAGAGGGATGCATTTTGCAAAGTATATTAAGAATGTCGCTTACAATTATTATTATACTTCGTGCGCTATGCAATAATTATATTATAATAATATATACATAACTAAATGAGTCTCGTATATAATTGTCAGGTTACGTTTTCTATTATCTACACAATTAATCTTTCAATTTCAATATCGCAATTACATTGTTAACTCATTCATTTTATATGAGGAGGAACTAAATTCTCTTCCCATAATGATACACATTTAATCAAGTCATTTTTATAAGCTTGTTAATTTTTTTCATTAACACGCGTATTATATAAGCTGCATTTTTCACGAATCAACAAGAACATTCCACTTGGAAAAGACCAACACGAGAAGATAACTCGGTAATTCTGTTACAGCCGTGTTACGCTTATCAATGCATTGACGCACGCGTTTACAGATAAGTTTACATCTCTCCTTTAGAGTTACTACGAAGCCGATATTACGCCGAGGGTCATGTGCATCAGATTTCACCCCATCCAAGTGCCTGTTTACAGTGATTAAATTATGCTCACGTTGCCGTTACACGTGCCCGCGCTAACGTGTCTACCTACAACGTGACGCGGTTCCTAGCTGTAGTAGGGAATGGGGAGTTGCACGAAATAATGCACGTGCGCTTCGCAACTCGCCGTCTGCCACACACTATCTGCAAATTGTGTGTGTGTGTGTGTGTTATGTGTGTACAGGATATACTAAATGCACCCCTTTTAAGTTGTAAACATTCGAAGTAATGTTAGAAAGAATAATTAAAAAGGTTGAATTTCTTTCTAAGTTTCTACTGCTGCTACCTTCAGTTAAAATAAAGTTATAAAAAAATATATATATGTATATATAATACGTAATATAACTTTGGTGACAGTGTTGAATATAATTATACAACCAATATCCAGATTTTAATTTTATTAAAATAAAGCTTGCTCGGAATTAAAAAAAAAATTGATATATCATAATTTCTATGTAACATAATTATTGGATTTTTGAGAATTTATAAAAGCCTTGGTGATATCTTTGTATTTTATCAAGATAAAATCTATTTGAAATTAATCAATAATTTGCGCTTAACTAAAACGTATTTGTTTTAGTTAAACGAACAATATAAATTACTAGGTTGAAATTCGCTTCGAATAAGGGGCTGTTTGTTGTAGCGGTAAACTAGTTAAAAATCTCATTACCGAACATATTTAAATCGCCAAACATTTACCGGCTGTTAGAAAATACGAATAATGTTACTACTGGGAAGAGTTAATTATCCAGATCATTCAAATAGAAGACATTAATTAAAAGATGAAATGTAACGTGATACTTATAAGTAATATATTTATTACAATTATCTGTTTGAAACCGATAAAGAGTTCATGCGAGGAAATGAATAGCGTTAATGAAAAATTAAAATATAATGAGACGATCAGTTTACTGACTTAATTTATTAACTGAATTATTTTTACTAGTATATTAACTACTCTCTAAATCTGAATCAGTGGATACTAATTGATATCAGTGCCAAGTATGCCATTGGTAATCAGTGAATGAAATGTGAGATTTCTAACCTACCTAATCTTTATTATGTGATTTAACTAATAAGTTTTATTGCACTTTTATCCAAAAACGCGATTTTTCGCATTTTTAATATAATAAAACTAATATAATATTTTAATATAATCAGAAACTAAAAAATAAGTGAAGAAGTTTGATATAAAACATACGAAACGATATATGTTTCTGCAAGGGAAAAATAAATAAACAAATCAAATAGAAATAATTAATAAGAAGGAACACATTTGTTTCGATTCTACATAACACACTATTTAACAAAAGTAAAAAACGTTATATTTCTAAATAAAACTATTTTACGCAAGATGTTTCTAGAATTGATTAAATTAATAAGTTAGACGTCCTTTCGAGTCTGATCGAGAAATCAGACGAAATACCACGCGCGAATTCCATTCCTTTTTTTTCGCTCGCCACTTACCGCGCTGCCAAATTGGAGTACTGGCTGGATTGCTGTCTACCTCGCATTTCAGGCTGACAGACATCCCCTCGACGATCGGAATTCCAAAACCAGGTAAACGCGTTATCGCGAACGATGGAGTATCTGAAACAGGTATTAAGCAATTAGTGTCAATGCCACGACGTCGATATACTACGTGATATCGCAGAGAAACATGAAAAAAAAGAAAGAAAAATAGACGATGTTACCAGACTATTATTACACTGCCAAGATCAATTTAAAATGATGCAAAATAAAATTTCATTCCGCTTTCAGTATTCTGTTTTTAAACGCAATCTCAAAATATCTTGGAATCTTGGAAAGAAATATGACATCGCAAATTGCAATGAAATACAAGATTCGTTCTATTCTCATGCTCTATTTCTGCGTAATATTCGTCTAAATGAATTTTATAATGAAATTCAAAAACAGTCGTTTAATAAGTAATTCAGAAAGTCATAGCAATTGCAAATTGTAATCTTCTTTCGCAGACGATAGCAAGTCTGTGAACTCGCTTATACTTCGCAATTTTCGAATAAGATTTCCGGTAATTTTAAAATGTATTGGCCAACGTAATCTGATTTCTACACATTCGAAAGTCATTCTTTGTACGACGGAGATTCTATGTACGAAGATATCGGCCACTGCGGATTGAATCCAATGTGCACGAAAATAACCAATTTTCGAATAAAAATAGTAGACTTTAAGAAGATAGATTACTGAGGATACGATTCACAATAGCAAATAGAAAAGTCTTTCAGTTGACTTCCATCTTTATCACTTTTGATCATTGCTTTTCAAAAGTCAAAAATAGAAAAGAATGGAATAAAAAATAAAAGAGTATTATATGTGTACTTGTATAAATATTTATATGAAATAAATTATATATTAAAAAAAAAAAGATGTTAATCATAATAAATTCAATCAAGGAATAATATAAAAGGTTACACATTTTTCTATTGTAGTACAATCTTTGCATACATCATATTAAATATGTTATCTGCTCTGAATATACAGAAACAATAATGAAACACTCTTTAGTAATACTGTTATATAACTTTATTCCTAATCCGAATATAGATGTTGTCCTTTCTTTGGTTGAATTAAATAATATTTCCACAGATCGGCACTGCTCCCAAATGTACGCAACGTTTCAGTAATGTGAAAATACTTTTCACATTATAAATATCTGCTTAAATAGTTTGTTTGGAGGTAACCCGTGGAATGCTTATTTCCACTGTGGGAGTTTATAGTGACCTGCTTTTGCGCGGAGTTCACTTCCCGAATACAAACCAGCTTTCCGCCCTGAAGCGACATTATGCGCAGCGACAAAACTTCACATCATCACCAAATAGATATACCGCAAAGGAGGCAAGAAGAGAGAGAAGGGAGAGCAAGAGCAACGAGAAGCGTTAGTTATCGGAATGCTCGTTATAATGAAGATGTAAATCCCGAGAGTTAGTAATTGAACGCATCAAGTGCCTCTAGAAATCAAACGTAATCATTGGAGATGATGCGTTATTCCCGTTACCTCCGGTAATCACCCCCTCTTTCTCTTCTGCGTTCGATACGAGCTTCCCTTCCATGTCATTAACGTCCAACGTGGAAGCAGATGATGGGATTCCGGCATATTCCGCTAGTGTGTATATAGGGCGACAAACGAACGATCAACGAGGTTGGCAGAGAACGATCAAGAGAAGTAGCGGAAAGGGAAGGTTTTCAAAATTGTCGTTGAACAAACGAGGTATAGATACGAGGTCGTGGCGAGTAATTAATGAACGGGACAGTCAAGATTTTACAGGCGCCGAGGTCGTATTCGTTAAAAGGTCCTACTATTATCGTCGATACCAACGACAAATGGTGGAAATATCCACACGCTCTGTTGGCGCCCCAGTGAGTGGGACGTCGTTCGATGCCACCCCGGCGCCGCTCGAGCGATTTGCCGTTACCGTTATATCGCCGTTCAGCTCGTTAATATCACGCCGCGACTATAACGGGACAGCCACCGAGGTCGCAGAATAAATTGGAGATGCGTCAAATTGTGCGAGAGAAGGAAGAGACGAGCCCCTGGAAAACGCGGGAGAGGCGTGCAGAATATCGGAAGTGTGACGCGGAGGAAGGGTGTATAGGGCGCGGGTGGCGTACGAGATGGAAAAAAGAAAAAATTGAAGAAAGATAAAACGGAAGATGAAGCGACGCAGGAAGAAGAGAGAGAAACAAGGGCGGCACGACTACCAGGATGGCTCGAAGTTATTCACTCGGCTATAATAGCGCGGTGCTGGGACAATGCAAGCTTAATGAAAGCTTTTCTCCCCGGCGTACCGACGACCTCATCTCCTCG